AAAAAAAAAAAAATGAATCCTAAGAGTAAATTTTATCTTATGGTAGTTTCTGTTACCCCCCATAGAATGAGTAAACACATTTACCTTCTTGGCTCTTTTTTTACAGGGCAATTGGCTTTAGAAATCAGGATTCCTTAATACTAAATAATAGCATTGCCAGTGAAATTATTAATTAGTTTCCTTCCTAGGTGTAAGATGTTAATTTGAACATGCCTTTTCCTACGCCAGGAGAGACTGTAACCATCCCTCTTTGGTTCCCATTTGGCAAAGAGTTACTATGTAATCTAATATCACAGGATTAGAATCTCAGTATTTAAATCCAATTTCTAACTAATATCAAGGTTTTCAAACTATAAACCTCTCATTTGCAGACAAATTAAAGGTTGTCTTTTAGCAGCTGTCTTTAGAGGGGTGAGGACTTAAAAAGGACTAGTTATTACTGAAGTCAATAAAGTAGGGGATTTGAGGTCTTATTCTCTAGGATATGGAGGTTTCTATCTCCTGAAGGCATTGCCTCTGCAGTAGGTACCATGATGCTATTAATCAAACACTGTTAAAATTAGAGGTGACTTGCAAATTTGGGGAAATATGAGAAGACCAAGCATCCTTAGAAAGCCTAAGAGTGGTTGACAACTGTCATCCTGATCAACATTTACTCTTACAAGAACAACTATGTTTGAGTTCTATTATTATGCATAGATGATATTTAAAATTTCTATTAAGTAGTTCAACATGGAGGAGGCTGTTTTTATGATTTATAATTTTGATAACTGACTTTAATTTGTTACATGACTCTGGGTGGAGCACATTAATCAACTCTGATTGAAGGAGGCAGAACATCTCCATAATTATTCTGTGGTGCTAGAAATTGAACCATGAGGTGAGTATAACTCAGTGGTAGAGCTTCCTAGGTGTAAGATATTAATTTGAACGTGCCTATTCCTAGGCCAGTAGAGACTATAACCATCTCTCTTTGGCTCCTATTTGGCAAAGAGTTACTATGTAATTTAATATCACAGGATATCAGTATAGCACTACCACTGAGCTATAATCCCAGCCCATCTCTTAAGAGGATAAGCTTTAGAGATGGTTATCCTTGCATTCCAATTTCATATCTACTACTTATATGCTCCTTGATCTTGGGAAAGTCATTTTACCTCTTTGACTATTGATTTTCTTAACCTTTAAATTGGAGGTAAGAAAACTTACCTCTTTGGGATTTCATAGTATCATGGGTATAAGGCTCTTAGCCCAGTGTCTAATGCATTATAGTTGTTCAATAAGTAAACATACAAATAATAAAGTAATAAAGGTCTGGTTAAGTGAACAAATGAATAATGAATGTGTAAAAAATAAACTTGCTCTGAAAACAGAAGGGCCATTTTATACATAACTTCACACCATACCGTACATGTGGCTTGTTTTGTAGAACCTGTTTCCTATTAGTTATCCAGACCAAATGAGATTTTCTAGGACATAGAAAACCTACACTCAAGCATATCAACCCATTCCTTGGGACTTGGCCATGTAAGAAGTGCTATCTTCGCAGAGGTGAAACATGGCTGTATAGTTGCCTGATATCCAGGATGGCTACCGTTTCACTTCATGGCACTCAGTTATTTTGACAAAATATCCTAGAACACACAGCACCCTTCATATTTTCCTGTGAGGGGCTCTGGTTTAAGGTTCCTCTGGCACCATAAGGAATGCAATCCTTCTTATTGACTCTCCTCCACCCCACCCTGTTCTGTTCCCAGACTCACACAGAGCAGGCCTGAGAGCAGGGTACCCAGAGGATAGAAATACCCCAACTTCACTCTGATTCTGTGGTTACCCACCAAAAGGAAAGTGGACCATTCCTCTGTTCCCCTGAAATTTCATCAAAACTCCATAAGCCCCACTTCATGCTGGCTCAACTGGAACCACATTTATCTCTTGAATGCTGGGAACCCTGGAATAATTCAGACTCTATGAGCTTTACATTCTTCACGTGTAAAAAGAACACACTTAGGCTAGCTGATTTCTGAAACTCCTTCCAGCAATCCCTTGGGGAATGTACACCCTTCACTGAGCAATTATATAAGGCCTCGACATTTCTTGTACTGATATTTAATCCAAGTACTTGATTAAGGTTTTGCTAAGGAAATATGCCTTACCTCCCCAAATAAACTAAGAGTTGACTGCAAAGACGAGCACATCCCATTCTCCTTTGTATTCTCCCATGTTACCTAGGAGAGTGCCTCATCCTCAGCATTACTCTGTCTGTGTTCAGACAGGACTTGGGTTTCTCACACACACAATCTGAGGGGCAAAAACAGATGGCTGCTTTCTTGGTCTTTGAAATCCTTCTGTGGATATGGATTCAGTCTTGATGAAGGGAGTAGTATCTTGCCTGATGGTGGGCAGAGGCAGGGAAGTGGACAGCAATGGGGTCTGTCTCCTCCACTGGCTGGATGCCAAGCACCCAGCAATATTTATCTGTGTTCAAAATGGAGGATAAAGCAAGTGGTATATCTCTTTCATTGCTTCCATATCCTGTGGCTTAAAAGTGAACCAGGAAACATACCCTCTGTCTGTCCAGTAGAATCTACGGCCAATCCAGTCCACGGCAAGACCTTCTGGTACATCTATTCCTTCCTCAATAAGCCTTTCTCTCTGGGAACCATCCATATTAGCTCTCTCTATCCATTTCAGAGCTGTGTGGGCATAATATATCTGCAATAGAGAAAACAGGTGTTTCTGATTTGTCTTTAAAAACTGAACATGAAACATAGACAAAGGGGATGAGTAAGCCTTCAGGTCACCAAGTGAAATTGTTAAGAGCCCAGTTTAAAAATTAGTTAGACACATCAGCAACTAAACCCCACTATGCTGCTCCCAGTTGTGTGTAACCAAAAGCAAGTTACTTAGTGTCTCAGAGTCTTAGTTTTCTTATTGGTAGAATAGGAATATAATATCAGCCTCATTAGGTCACATGATATGCATACATAAATTCTTAGTTCCTGGCACATAGTCTACTCATTGTTTCTTCATATTTGATCATTGGAGGTTGGGGTTATGGCTCAGTGGCAGAGCATTTGCCTGGCATGTGTGAGGCACTGGGTCCAATCCTCAGCACCACATAAAATATGAATAAATAAAATAAAGGTTAAAAGAATATTTGATCATTGGTCAATGACATAGTCTTTGCACTGGAACACATCAGTGGCCTCTACAGCCTGAAAGGGAACAATGATGTGTAATTTAATGAGGACACTAAGTAAGCTGTATCTTCTACTGTTCACACAGCACTGTACTTCAGAGCAACTCAAGAGACATGGGTTCCTCTCAGTTTTCTAATTTATTTGCAGGACTGCTTTGGCTAAGTCACTTAAGCTCAATTTTCCAGGCTGCAAAAATGAGGAAGTTAGATATTTCCTAAGGTTCCTTTCATCTCTAAACTTAAATAATTTTATTTTAATTTATCTGTCTTATCCAATTTTATAGGCACAAAGTTCTTTTTCAATCTAGTATGCAGGCTATCAGACATAAGAATTTCATCAGAGTATTAAATTGTCAGATGACAATGTAATGGAATTTGTGGAATTTTAACCGGGAGCTAATAATCTCATCAATTATAGATTTAGGTAAACATATGTGCTCATGATTAAAATTCCACAAATTCCATTAAATTGTCTTCTGGCTCATAGCATTTTTAATAGACTATTATTTAATGAGTTCCTGTTTTGTGAATGAATTATTATTTGATGAGTTATATTCGTAAAGAAGAGGTAATATTTCATAAAGACAAATATAGGTACTTTTCATGAAAAAACTCTACTAGAACTGTGTTTCTCAAACTCAAATTTGCATATGAATCATCTGGAAATCTTGTTAAAATGTAGATTTGGATTCAATGGACTGGAGAGGAGCCTACTAGTCTTGTAGTTGTATTTTCAGGTGATGTTGATGCTGGTTGGGCCAAATACCAGAGTTTGAGTAGCAAGAAAATAAGAACATTAATCATTAAGTTAGTTAATGGAAATATTTTAAAATAAATAAACATATTCTGGATATTTAAAAAAAGAAGAAATAAAAGAGGGACTGATCAGCCTTAATAATATAGAAATTCTAAGTTACATAAAAAACTTTTATGTAAAATTGAGAATTATATAAATAATGTTGCAAGACTGCCATTCCCACAACAGTCATAAAACTGTGCTTTCGGATTTTCATAGTTCAAAGGTCATGCAATTCCCTCTCTCAATGACATGTATTAAATGCAAATTACTAATTTATATTTTGGCCCAATCTTAACCCCCTATTCTTCCCACTACTAGCAAATAATCAAAAAACCTATTTATGGAGCTCCTTTTGCATGAACTTGTGCTACTCTACCATCCTCATCTCCAAAGAGGAAACTAACCTGATAATCCTGTACAATCATCCCCAATAAAATCAGTGAATCCCAGCAAGAACCCTGCATAGAGATATGATAACAGGAAAGCCTTATGATTTCCCAAATGATGTTCCACTATCTACATGTAAGTTGTTACAGGTCTAATCATTCTCAGTTTAACAGAAGATTTTCAAGTAGCCAATGTCATCTGTTAGGATAATCTCCTCTGTTCTGTCTTTATAGCACACTCACATCTGTTCAGGCAACAAACCCATACCTTATTTTCCACAGGGTCATGATCTAGTGCAAAAACTGTTCCCATCTGCTTGCTGAGCAGGGTTCCATAATCTGTTCCATCAAAGTGCATATGACGAATATCTTGAGAATTGGCAAACATCAAAAATGGTTGTGGTCCTGTTAATTAAATTTCCAATATGTCTGTGTTTAAAGCATGCCTTAAAACAAAAAAGGCACTTCTGACTCTTCCCTTTCATTGCACCCTCTTCTTCAATTTCTACAATGTTAGTCTTCTTAGTTTCCCACAAGTGTGATATAGGCAAAGACAGGCAGGAAGCCATTCTGTACCATGAAGTAGCACATTGCAAGAATTTCATCACTAGATTCTTCTTCTCTAGATGTTTGCTTTTAAAATGTAAATTACTTTTAAAAAGTCACACTAAGTTACCAAAAGCATAATTAAATGATGCACATCTTAGGGTTGTAATCTCCCTGTTTCACACATATTGAATTCATATTGGAATAAATAAATTGCCTTGACCTAGGCTCTTCTGAAAGGGACATGTGATTATTTAAATTTATAATAAGACCCCTTGAGTATTCTCAGTACTCAAATTATACTATATTACTGAGGCCTTGAAAAGTTGAGAGTATTGTGCTCTAAGTCCAGCTATATAGAATCATTATTATGTTATTCCAATTATCAGCATAATTAACATTCAGGAGAACGTTATGAATGAAATGCATTTGGCATAAATCTAAGATTTCCAAGGCTGTTGAAGGACACAAGAGATAAATATCAGAAGATGAAAAAATAGCAGAAGCATACAATTCAATATTAAATTTTGCCATGAAAAAGAACAGAATTTATCAAAGTATTATAATTATTGCATTCACTAGAGAGATGAAAATCAAATCAACTAACAAATATTATTGAACACCTCTTAACTATAAAGTATATAAGTATATACTTAAATACTATAAGGTATTTAAGACTATTCTGGTCATAACTTTCTTTTTTTTTGATACTGGGAATTGAACCCAGTGCCTTGTGCATGCAAAGCAAGCACTCTACCAACTGAGCTATATCCCCAGCCCCCATAACTTTCTTATCTACTAAAAATACCATATATGACATTATGGCAAATATTTTTTGCTGGATGCCAGAAATATTCTTTAAAAACATGATTATTATTTATGTTATAATTAATTATTCATGTTCATAAGATTCATTTTCCATTTCCAAAAATAAAAAAATCAGATCTTCTATCAAGAAGCCAAAAGCAATTCAACTTCCCATCTTTCTAAATAAAATACTTTCATGTTATCTTTTGCAGAAACACACTTCCAAACAACCCCAGCACTAACCTGAAGCTGCACAGCTTTTTTGGTCTGGTTGTAGGTCATACCCAGGAAAGCAACTACATTCCCAAGATACTGGGCTGAGAGGAAGACAGAGCTGGCTACAGCCACCGTTATCAGGTGATGAACAGCCTACAAAAAACAGTTGCTTTGTAATGATGTTGTCATTCAATATATTATAATTTTCATCAAAGTATGGAATGTACCAACTATATGTTGATTTTGAAAACCACCTCCTCAATCATTCAGACAGCTGCAATCAAGTTTATTTTTCAGAATATCCTAAGTGCCCCCCTTCAGTAAACTCAACATCTTGAATGATAATGCCTCACATTCCAATGGCCCCCATCCTCTTGTTGCACCCCTGAGTTCAAGAACAAGCATGCTGATAACTGGTTGAAGAACAAAGTAAGTTTTAGTGGGTGTGGCAGCTGGTCTAACTCTTTCTAATGAGTAATGCATTTTTTTCTCTCTTGCATTTTCAGTCTCTTCTTTTGCATTTCCTAGGTTTTAAAAAATCTTAATTGGCTTTACTTTTAATTCTAAAAATGGGCACACTTCCAGCAGAATAGAATAGACAATATGATTGATGTATGTACATTCCATGTATGTATTATATGTCAAAATACATTCTGCTGTCATGTATGACTAAAAAAAATAAAAATAAATTGTATGGTATAAATAAAAAAATGGGCACACTTCATCCTGTAAAATTAGCATTCTCTTCTATTTTTAAAAAATATTTATTTTTTTAGTTTTTTTCGGTAGACACAACATCTTTATTTTTATGTGGTGCTGAGGATCGAACCCAGCGCCCCATGCATGCTAGGCAAGCATGCTACTGCTTGAGCCACATCCCCAGCCCCTCTCTTCTATTTTTTTTATTTAAAAATCATAAAGCTGTACATGACTTTTCTGCTAATCTCGGGTTATATCCAGACTTCTTTATGCATAAACCTCTATAAAGATAAAAGTAGAGAGTTCCTTATTAGGTGCAATCAACAGACTGAGGACACTCTGCCTCTGCCATCTCATTCAATCCAGGAGGCAAGTCAGTATTGTTACAGATGAGGAAGCAAAGACTAAAAGAGGTCAAGTAACTATAGTCTAAAACACACTGCCGTAACTGTAACTGGTAATACTACCTAAGGACTAACTTCAAAGCCCTTGATCAAAACCACTACAATACGCATCTTTTCTAAAAAGAAATTTAAATCTATGTGTTAATCTGTTACATAAATATCTTTCAGTGTGTAATACTGGAAAATCTATTCTCCTTTGGCAATAAGATCAGTTTTGGGGTATCACTTAGAAAATGTTTATATTCAAACCAACAAGAGGCAAATAAACTCACCACTACATGTTTTTCCATCTCTCCCAAGCACTGAGCCTTCAGGACAGAAACACAGGGGCCCATCTGATGTCAGAACACATCCATGGCTGCATTTAGATGCGTTGCTTGGACAGGAAATGAATGCTAATTAATGAAGAACAAAGTTAAGATTAATGTTAAATCAGAGTTGTGAAACTTTATTACAATCTGTTGCTAACAAAAAGTGCTCTCCTGAAAAAAAAAGAAGTTAAAGAAAGAACAAACATTTATGAAATGCCATGGTAATTGGAGGTATAAAGAAAAAATTTCAAATCTGAAAACAGAAAGAGTTCTGATTTTGCAAAATGTATCTAGTTTCCTCTGAATTTCTATTATCTCAAATAAGATTTTTCAAGCTGTTAGTCATCAAAATTCTGAGAGTTTTGGAACCTGAAGAAGTGATTCTCGAGTTCACCTGGAAAACAGATTTCATGTACTAAAAAAAAAAAACAAAAAAACTAAGGACATTTTATGAGTGTGGTTAGGTGTAGGAAGAGAAATGAGAGGCTCTTAACAAATATTAAAATGTATGATAAATTATCATATATGCATAATAATGTGCAATCATTAAAATAGTGGAGAATGGGTGTAGGAATAGACAGAAGATAATACAACAGGACAGAAAGCTCAGATTAGAAAAGATTAAAGTATACATAAGAACATACTGCGTAAGATGTTATTTTAAAATTAGTGAGCATGTGAAAGATCATCCAATAATTGTATAGAAATAACTGAATAATGATTCGGGAGAGAAATGTAAATCTCTACCCTATAGCAAATATTAAAATAAATTCCAAGCAAGTCAAATATGACATTGCATATGTAATATTAAACTTCTAGCAGGTTTGAGAATCAAGTGAGATTACATTTGCTACACTTGGTACACAGTGGGCCCTATGAGGAATTTACATCCTTTACTTCAGTATATTTGCCAGTGGGCAAAATTTGTAATATTAAGAGAGGGGCAAATTTCATAGACAAGCACAAGCATGCTGGTTAATTTCCAAGAAATTCATTATTGTTAGGTCCTTAGGCCAAAGTAATTCCATTTTGAAAATCAGCACCTGTCATTTTAAGAATCCCACCCATGCATGACCTTCTCGTTAAGCCATCTCCAAAGAGTCCCTAACTACTGAAACCACAACAAAGATGCCAAGTAACAATCACAGGACCGTGGGTTATTTTGGTTTTTGATATTTTTTAGTTATACATGGACACAATATCTTTATTTTGTTTATTTATTTTTATGTGGTGCTGAGGATTGAACCCAGGGCCTCACATGTGAAAGGCAAGCTCTCTGCCACTGAGCCACAACCCCAGCCCTCTGGGTTATTTTTTAACCACTTCATTGTACATGACTATATAGTTAAATTTTTTCAGCAGGCTGTTGCTCCTTGAAGAAAGGTAGCCTGGCAGATATTCTCTGTAAATAAATCTTTGCTTGACTCAGAGATGTGTCTCTTATGGATATTTGCACCAGGTACCCTAACAATTATCATTCATCCATTTCAATGTGCTTGCTTTCATAAGCATAGACGATATCTAGACTGACCTATTCCACCATCTTTGAAGAAGAATAGATAATAAACATGAGTTGAAACTCTCATTTGTACTTAGCCATACTAGTAGATTCAATAAAAAATTTATCTTAAGGTATCTGAATATTTAATCCTAAATTTGCACTGGGAATATCCATATACATTTAGAATGTATCTTTTTCTTTTTAATATGTATATTGCCAGCATTGATGCCCCCAAAGACCTAAAAACAATGATTTACTCAGGCACAGATTATATTATGTGTGTGTGTGTGTGTGTGTGTGTGTGTGTGTGTGTGTGTATCCCAACCCTGGTAGTCTTTATTTTAAATATCTATAGTAAAATGTAGTTATCCATATTTCAAAAAGCAAAACAAAATAAAACTCCAAGGTAATTCTGATGCACACTGCTAACTGAAGCCTATCAACCCATCATAGTTCACTCAAAAACATTATTGAAAATTAAGAAGAATAATGCAATAAATACTTGTTTTTGTGACTTACGATGGCATCGTTTTCCATCAGAAAGCAGAACAAATCCTGCAGGGCACGTGCAATAATAGGATCCAGGAATGTTCTTACACCCAAGAGTACAGCCATGATTCCAAAAGGCACATTCATTGACATCTATACAATGACAAAAGCAAATCACAATAAAATGGTTGTTTCTGAAAATAAATTGTGCTATTACTAATTAGTAAGCACAAAGTAGGGTGGTATATGCTGTAACTGATCAGGGAGGGATGTTTTTCCAATTCTCAGAAAAAGAGAAAAAGAAGTCAGTCCGATGATCATGAAAGGCATTTCTACTGTGTTATAGTTTATACAGATTTTTGGGACTAGAATTAACTTTTGATAAACATATAGCACTATATTCCTTGAAACGATACAGCATGCCATTCAAGTTAGGAACTGTTGGAAGTTTCTTAATCAGTTTGGACAATTCCTGTTCTGCTATTTACTTTTCTCAAGACCCAAGGGGAGCCCCTCTCCTAAAAGAAGAAACACTCCGTAGCAGCTTTGCTCCAACGGAAGCGCCAGCCTTCCAGCTCACAGCTTTTGCACATCACAGCTTTTCCCATTGGTGCCCTGTAAGCAGGGGACTATAACTAGGTGCCAGATTTACCCGCAACTGATGCCACTTAATGTGTCCTGCAGCCATTGGGTTCTTTTCATCCCTAAATCACAGCACCTTCCAGGAAAAGGGATGCAGACGTCTCTTGGGTTCATTAAATAGGGCTTGGAATTTTGAAACAGGAGGCGTCCTAGGGGACGAGCCTGAGCCTCAGTTTGCGTCGTTCCAGATTAGATCTTTATGGAATACGATGTGACAGTCATATGCTCTGAGAATCCGATGGTAGCTATGGAACTGCTCTCTTAAAAAGTGTTTATCCTGAAATTTTGCACAAATTCAAACGCAAAGAGGCTCAGAGAATCTCCTCCCCCTCCCGAGCAGCCTCTGTATCTGAGGTAGGAACACAGGATATTGTTTTTAAAAAGGGACCTCGAAGTATTAGAAAGACTTTAAAAACAGAAGAAAAAATAAATAAAAGTGCTCTCCTGGGTTAAAGCAAGCTAACTTGAAGTCGATTTCCCGGTGACGCCCTCGTGGCCCCTCAAAACAGTTCTCGGCGACCGACACTCCCCCGCCCTCCGCGGGGCGCGCTTTACCTTCACAGGATTTCCGGTCTCGGCTGAGCGCGTAGCCCTCCGCACATGCGCACAAGCGCGACTTGGAGTCCTGGCCGCACGCTCTGCCGCTGCAGTTAGCTTTCTTTAGTTTGCAAAGTTTCTTTTCTAGAACAGAAGATGGTTTATTAGGAACCTGTGGATATGTGTTTTGACAGAGGACAATGCTCCATCCCTGCACGGTTCTTAAACTGGCTCCTCTTGTCGCCTCTTGCCACGGTGGCGCTGCTCTAGCTGGGATTCGGCAGCGTTCCAAAGTCCTTATTTCTCTAATTGTCTTACAGTAGCTCTCAGGATAGGGCGTCCTAACTAGCTGGAGATGTCATTCCTTGGGTTGCTAATAGTACAATTTATCTGCTTTTTCATTCTGACGTAAAAAAACACATAAACAGAATTCTGTTCAAGAAATAATAATAAAAAAAGACTTTGAACTTAAGCACATCTTTCCCTGAGTGTACTATGTATAAGTCAGAGGTAGATGGTATTTAGCTGTTTTTATAATTATTATTTTTTAAAAAATCTTTCAGGCTTAATGTATATTGCCACATGTCTTATCCTCAAATTTCTGAGTTTATTGCTGACATATCCCATATGTTATGAACTATCCCAAGTGAATTGGAATTTGTTCAATAAAATGGGTGCTTGGGTTGAATTAGCTACAAATTGGGTTGAGTTAGGTGTGTTTCCGTGCTTACGTTATAGTTACAGTTATCTATTTTGGGGCGCTTGAGTTAGATTAACTATACTGAACCAACTTGGTATATGACCAACTTAGTACCTCTGTTTTTCAAAGCCCAAAGTCAAGGGCTAACCTAGTAGCATGTATATCCTGTTTCAAGAGGTTAACAAGATTTTTGCATCTTTTACTTCTTATTTTTGTCGATTTTAATGACAGAAACTTTATAAAATGCTATGGGAAATACAGATAAGCTTAAGTGTGGGGACAGATGCCCAGATGCAGGTAGACATGAAGCAGTGATCTGGCAGAAGGTAAAGGCCAAGGAAGAGCACTGGGTCATAGAGCCTGAAGTCTGGCATGGTTAAGATCTACTCGAGACTGCATAATGAGAAGAGCACAGGGTCTCAGCCAGGGCTGTGGAGAACACCAGCACTGTTGTGGGAAACACAGAAAACAAATCAGCAAGCACCTGAGCAGAGCAGTTGCAGCTGGATCCTGTTCCCCAAGTGCATTTGTTCTCTGATCTCTTTTCTCTACTTCTAGAGATGTCCCCTTCATCTGACTTGACCTATTTCCTTCTACTTCAAATCACTCTTACAAGATAGAATTTCAGCAAATTTGGTTAAATGACCTATAATTAGCTTCTTATTTTCAATCTATGACTCAAGCAGCATTTCATCTATAAATAGAGGAGTGCTACACTGGGCATGGCAGAAAAGTCTGTTTTTGTTTGGCAGTTTGAGCAGAAACAAGACAATGGACTAATTTAAAAAAAAAAAAAGTGGACTGGTTAACATCAGGTTATTCCAGGTTCCTTTCCAGGTAAAGGTTAAAACAGGGCCGACTTCCTTATCATGCTGGGGAGAACTGATTGGTTTGGGGATTTGTCCATCACGTTTCTCCTGATTTCTTAGAAGGTTAGATAAACAAGTTGGTTTTGATTTGGGGATCTGGAACTTCAGTATGAATGACTCCATTATGATTAGGTCTGCTGGGGCCTCATGCAGGAGCTCTGTTCAAGTCAGTGGCCTCTGATAAATTTTACCCTAAACACATTTTTGACCAACAGCTGCAGAATTCAATAGAAACATATTTTTGTTGCATTTAGAAAATCCCAAGTGTACATCACCAACGAGAGAACATGTTCCCCTCTTGGGATTCTAGTTTGTTATGAGGGAGAGCCTTCATACCAAAATCTATAATCTGCATTTTTATAGATTCCAGAGTGACTCTGATGCTGGGAGTCTTCATGCCAGACTGAGAAACAATGGCCTAATGTTCTGCTGAGACATTCCACCTTGACTCCATTTAGTTGGTCCGTGTTCTTTCCTTAGTCATTTTAACTTGTATTTTTTTCAGTTTTCTTGGCAGAAATAAATGTGAAATCAATCTTGCCAACTCTCTATACAACTGCAGTATTTCCTACTAAATTTGTTAAGCTCTACATTGAATAGTATTTTGGAAAAAAATTTTCCTTATCTATGCTTTTTATGCTAATTATGCAGGTATATTTACATATTTTTTCATAGCATGAAAAATATGTAAATATACCTGCATAATTTTCTGCATGCTACACTTAAGCTATAAAATTTTAATTAATCAAAATTTAAAATGGCTCAAATTTTAAGTGAATGACAAAAATCAGAAACTTGTAAGATTATTGAGGACAAAATACATCCTCTTCACATTTCTTTAAAAAAAAAACAAGTAATTTTTAACTTTGATTTTTTTTCCTTTAATAACACCAAAACACTACACTTTCTTAAGATAACAAAAACTTCACAGATTATGCTTCCTGTAATTGTACCTTATAAAAATCTTTCCAAGCCCAGCATAATAGATGATTATAGGAATTAAAAAATCAGGAAAATCGAGTTTTGTCTTGTTCTGTATTTCACAGCCAATTGCTTTATCTCCTTGACCTAGGTTTCCTAATCCATGGAATGAAAATATTGAATTAGATATTCTCATTCATATTGTGTCTTTCTGTCTGTCTCTCTCTCTAATTGGCTCTCTCTCTCTCCTACACACATGTGCATGCGCTTGCTCTGCCCTCCCCCTTTTTAAAGTGCTGTGGTTCAAAACAATTAAATGTTTGTGGTAAATTTTTCTAAATTTATACCTCTAAAGAGTCTCAAACCTTAATTACTGCCTACAGCATGGTAACACAGATCAAACTGTCTAATGAAGAAAATGATCAATATCTAGGGTATAGGAAATGACCCAGAGAATCTTCTAGATCCTGTATTGTAACTTTTTTTTGTACCTTTCTACTATCTCTTACACCTGGCCCCTGTATGTTCTAATCTTCCTCATCATCACTATTATTTCTATCATGATTATATGTATGTATTCTTTTTCCATTAATAGGTAAGGGATGTACTCTACTCACATATGTAGTCTCAGTAACACCTAGCATGTTGCCTTTCACTACATAGGTACATAGCAAACATCTGGAATACATGCACAAGGTCCTGTGATCATTCATCTGCTCCCTCACTTCTTTAATTCTTTTCCCCTTGGATTTCCAGTCACCTCAAACAGATGAGCAGACTGTGTTAGCTTAGAACTCTGTCCCCTCTACCATGCTGCCAATGGTTTGAATGATGCTTATTAATCATTATTCTCCTCTGCATGGTTGTGTTGATGATGTGACCTGAATTCAGACACTAAACACTTTAAAAGGTCATTTTAGGAAATGGCCAAACACAGAGGATTGAGTGTTATATTTCAGTTTAATCTTCTTAATCTTCTGCTGCTCTTTAGCTTCAAAATAGGCCAAAGCTAGCACTCAGAATGTTGCTGCTGACCTCAGATAACACCCCTTCTCAGAGCCCAGCAGAGGGGCTTAATTGCCTTTGAGATCAATTAAAGTCCCTAATCGTGGAGTTTAATGTCCATGCCAACTGTGCCTTCAATCACTGCCTGACAAACACACAGGCGCTCTTGAGCTTGCCTGCAGTCCAGTAAGTCTACAGATTTTACCCTGGTCCAGTTCTGAAATAGTGCACAAGGGATTCCCTTGCCTGCATTTCCCACCCCATCACATAAAATCACATTCCTCAAATTCTGTGTAAGACCCTGTCACAAAGCTGTTCTAATCTCTTCCATTCAAACCCATTCACTAATCATTCTTGTAACTGAATATTTGCATCCCGATAGATATTTAACACATAACAATAAAAATTTGAATAACACTTTATAAACCATCTACATTTTCACATTTAGTTTTCAGAACAAGTCCTGGGGTTTTGCAGAGCAATATTGTTTTCCATTTTATAGATTAGGAAATAGTGCCTTGTTAAGGAGCACATAGGTAATAAGGGGTAGAACGAAGGCTCAACCCCAAGCCTTCTGTTTGCAGGCTCCACCTCTTTACCATGTATGTGTGAGGTGTTACATATGCACATATGTGTATAAGTATATACGTGGGCATGTATGCATACATAAAATATAACTGGGCTTTGTGGAATTTCTGTAAAAACCTACAGTTATATTTTTGTTTCATTTGTTTATTGTCTTTCTCATTAGTGAGTTCTCAAAAAATGATACCCTTAACTTCCTCAAAAAACTTCCCAAAGTATATACTACAGAAGTTTTTTCTTCCCTGTTAAGAGATATATAAGGAAGAAAATACATGAGTGGCTATTTCTCTTCCTGGAATTCATAATTACCATTGGAAAAAAAAAACTACCCAGAATTTAACTATTTGGTATTCATACTTATCTGAACCCTTTTAAGAATCAGAAAATAAACAAACTAGTAACCTCTAGAAAGTAAAAAAAAAAAAATACTTTTTATTCTTAGAAAAGCCCCTCTGGCCCACTCAGTCTCTTCATACTATATACCTATTTTTGACAAGTTCAACCAGCCCAGAGCATAAAGGTAGAAAACACAGGTGTGGAAGCCTCCACTCCCATTGTGCCCATCCCACCCCACCTGCTTGCTGGATGGTACACGGGTGACAGGACTCCATGGGCTCTCTTGTTGAGAGACTGATAGCAACCTCAACTTTGCATTCCAGACACCAGTGTCAATGAGTAGGAGGCAGGGGGTGATGAGGGGAATCTATTGTTCATCTGTCCCACACAGACTAGACGCCTCTGATCAGGCTCCTCCTGGAGAAAGATGGTACAATTTGAATATCAAGAGGATAATAACTACCATGAATAGAAACATGTCGACTACTTATTTGAATTCATGAGTTTATAAAGATGCTTTTGAAAAAAGGTCACCGTTAGAGGATATTGGGAAACTAACCCTTTATTCTGAAAATGGGTTAATTAAGGGATGGGAACAAGCTTTGAATTTGCCTTTCCTAGAAAAGCTCCTCCTCAAGGGAATTGTATATCTGATGTGGAAAGTTTCTTCTTTATATAAGAATTCCAGATAGTAAATGTATAAGCAATGATACAATTAGAAAAAAAAAAAATGGCTCCAGGCAGCGGTAATCAATAGCCATTATGGAAAAGGCTGATGGGAAACTATAGTTGATGGACCAGGCTGGCCACCCCTGAACAGATGATTAATCTTGAACATCACAAAAAGAATGCGAACCAGCCCCTCTATGCCTCCTAAGGTGGTACAATAGGAAGCATAAACTCACAAAGCATCCTTGAAAAAATTCTGACTCTGATCAGGTTTCTAGACCTAAGCTATCAGTTTATGGGAAATACAGAAGGTAGAGAAAGATGATATCACCATGGAGATATAATTTGCAAAATTCAGAAAGTGGAAAATTTAACAGGACAAAGAATCTGGTTTCTTTCTTTTCTTTTTTTTTTCTTCATTTATTGCCTTCAATGTGTTGCTGAGTCTACCCCAGATATAATATGTATAAATATTTAATGTGGTGCTGGGGATTAGAACCCAGGGCCTTGTGCATGCAAGCAAGCACTCAACCAACTGAGCTATATCCTTAGCCCAAGAATCTGGTTTCTTAAACAAATAAATGGCAACAGAAATCCTCTAATTAGAAAACAAACCATAGACCTACAGACAGGCATGTGGGAATCAGCAAGATGTGAGAGCTGAGAGCAAGGAAGGAGACAAAAAAATGATAGAAAGCAGCTCCAAGCATTTAAAAGGCATTTCAAGAGACAGCCATTTGGTGTCAGGGTAAACCTGTGTTATCAACTCAGCTTTGCCAAAACCAATGCTGAACTTGCCCCGATGGCCTGTATCCTTGAATATGTAACTCTAGTCACTAAGAAAATGTCAGTAATTTTAAATGATGTGAGGAAAATACTGCAATCTGTATATTACAAACATTTCTATTAAAAACAGCTTTGTGTATTTAAACTGATTATTTAAAAATACTCATCTTTCTGCAATGATTCATTTCCAGGGGTTTCCAAATAACCCATGTTTTACAGAAGACTCTCCAGCAGAATGAATCAGAATGAATTAGAGTTGTACCTGGGTGGTTTTAGCTACACTTATCTTCTGGAAGCAGGTACATTTCCAGATGGAGGCAATCATCCTTTGTGGACTCACAGGAATAAAGACGTTCAACAATATTTTTTACATGAAAAGAAGGAAAAGTCTTTTACACAGTCGATGATAGACACCTAGTTCCCAAAGAAATAAACTTTTGAAACTCCCTTAGAAGCTTAAAACGGGAATCTACATTTAAAGAATCCAGAAAGAAAAAAAATGGACCTTCTACAAAATAATATCTGTGACTAGTAAATTGCAAAGTGTCTAGAAGATAAACTTGATATTTTTCCATTTGTACTAAGAAGTTCCCACATTGACTTGAGAGTCTAGGTGTCAGAGCAATCAGAGGGCTGGCTAAGTTTAATCATGCCTAACCAGTGTTATTAAGCCCACAAAAATGTGAGATCAATTCTACTTTTGAGTGGTTGGGGAGGATATTTGAATTTCTGAAATTAACAGAAAAGAGAGAGAGAGAAAGAAATAAGGTTTTGGATCCAAGGTCTGTGCAAACTGAAATATTTAACCAACAGGAGGCCACAGGTAGACAAGAATGTTCCACATTACAGGCTTTTCCCCAAAACAAATAGGCCAATCTAAGCTATGAGACGATAGAGTGAGAGCTCAGCTGTGGAGGCAGCTAACCACCTGGGTTCAATCCCAGGTCCACCACAGTGTGACCTTGAATGAGCTACTGTGATGAGGTAAGAGGACAAAGGACAAATTGCTCTTCTTGGCCTAGGTTTACAGCCTGCCAGCCACTAAGAGGTGCCACGTTAACTCATGGTTCTTCAGATTCCTAGTGTGGGTCATTTATCCACCCTCAGACAGTATCAGGGGCATCAGTAGAGCCAGAGTGCTTTCTCTTAACTCATCCATCACCACTGGGCACAAATGCTGAAGTGCCCCCACAGGTAGAAGTATGCCTAAAGCCAATTAATACTCCTAAACCCCAGACCATTGCTGCAAGCAGACAATAAAACTAGCTCCTTTCTTTTGTTCCAGGGAATCATCCTGATGCTTTCTTGTTGGAGCTGTGTCTCCTTTCCCAAGTGGAGGCCCCAATAAAGGCTTTGCCTGTATATTCGTACTCCTGGGACTCATTTTCACTTCTACCGTTGTTGAATCAGAGTTCCCAGTGTCCAGTTTCAATGACATCCCTGAACTCCAGATTTTTTAAAAACTATAAAATGATACCGATAATCACGCCAAGTTCAAAAGATTGTCCTGAAGCTCAGATGACACTGTACAGGGCGATCCAAGCAAGAGTGGAAAACTCTGTAATTATGGCTATTTCTGTTAGGCAGGAGGGCAATATTCTTAGATATTACATAGCTTTAAAATGGGTTCCTTGAAGTTTAGGATGAGAGTGCAAAGGATATTTTTCAGCTCTTTTTTACTGAAGACCTCTAGACATTGGGAGTTTGATGGAGAGGTATATTGCCTGTCTTGAAGGACTAAGGAAGTTTAGGGAGGCAGACAATTATGGCAAAGCACACTAAGTACCATGGGATAAGGGAAATTGTCCAAGAATATATGTTCCAGGAATACATTCTCTGAGAACGCAGTGGTGCATCAGCTAGCTTGGTTATGCAGTGGGTAGAGGGAAGGTGTTCCTGAAGGAAGTAATGTCAGGACTGTTTCCTAGAAAATAACAAGAGAGCCAGTGAAGGGAGGAAGTGTTTTGCAGGTCTGGAGCAGAGAGAAGACAGAAGGCCTTCCTTAGAAGAGGTAATCCAATCTTTGAGACTGGCTGTGCTGTAAAGAATGTAATACAAACAATGGTGTGAAATGAAACCTAGAAAAGAGCAGAGGTTTTTGTGAGCCAGCTGAAGAGAGTGCACTTGAGTTACTGACAATTGGGAGCTGTCACAAGGTTTTAACCAAAGAAGGAGATGATTAGGTTCTCATTTTTGATGGTTTATGCTCTCTGCAGCATGGAAAATGAAGGCAGGGTACCAATCAGAAGAATTGTGGAGAGAGAGGACTATAGAGAGAGGCACAAGTAGCTAGATTATTGGGGGATAATTGGTAGGATTTGGAGAGTGGTTTTATGGAATGAAGGTCAGAAGGAGGGAGGAATGGGCAACTCCTGGATTTCTGCCTTGGGAGGTGGGATGGATAAGGATGCTTCTTACTGATCTAGGGACACTGCAGGGAGAAAAGGTGAGAAGGAAGGAAAGAAAGTAGGTAGATCAGTTATTTCTTTTGAGCTTAAAGTATTTGCAAGAAATCCAAGTAAAAACGTCTAGTAAGTAGATAAGTATCAGAATCTTGATAAAGATATTTTTTACTAACTTGAATTCATATACCCACTGCAGGACCTTGAACTTGGAGGGTATAGACAGCAAGCAGGTATGACCAAGAAGAAAGACCAGGACCACTTCAGGAGATAATCAGATGGTCAGCAAAACAGCATGGTGGTAAAACTGTAACTTCACCACTTCGACTTGGGGTTCAGCAATCAGCAGTTGTGAAACTTCTGGAAAATCAGCCAGTCTGAATCGATGAACCAAGGACAAATCCTTGGAAAGCTCTGGGGCTTTTCTTTGGTCAACTGCACTGGTTAGACAGTCTTCATGGGACTGCCCCTTTTCATATAGTATGAATAAACCTCCAATGTTTTAAATCAGTTTTTCCTGCAGCTTTGCTCTGCAGCAGATCTTTGCAGCTCAACACTCATTATGCCTCAGAGTCTGATTTTTGTTTTGTTTTTTAATTTAGTCTAGAGTTCAAAAAAGAGGTCTGATATAGAAATAATTGATTTAAGAGTCCCTTGGGCTACTGCCTAGGAAGTAAAACAGAAAAGTGCCACAGCCTGAATTGGCCATAGAGAGTCACACTGCACTTAACCATATGAACGGGTCTGAGAAATCTCACTTGAGAAAAAGCAACCTGTTTAAACAACTTATTGAATTTAGCATATCTAAATCACTTAATCTTCAAAGATGTTTCCTTCCAAATAACCTCATTAAATCCCACAGAACTAGAGTTTTATATAACATGCTTTGATAAACTATAGTTTAGGTATTTCACAAGGAGAAATAAGTCTATTGAAACTCTTGTTTGTGCAATAACTGTCTTTTATAATAAAAAAAATCCAGATTACAGGACTTTTCTCAGTTACCTCCTTATTAGCCGTAGCTTCACAACTAAATGTCTTATAAAACTAATTACTGCTGTCTGCCTCACCAGAGCAGCTGCCATTGTAGGCCAGATTCCCAGGTGGTATGTCTTTATATTTGAAGGGTATCAGGCACATTGAGAATCTGGTGAAAGTTCTATACCATCTCCCTAGGGGGAACAATGACATATTTTCATCAAACACATGAAATCAAGAAATTCACAGATCTTAAAAGGTAAAGAATTCCTGCTTTCTAAAGCACTGAAAGAATTTAAACCTAACTAATCATGACCAAAGTAGCAATGCTCTTAAAATCAAAAGTTATTTCACTTGGAGTATGTTATTGTTTAGATGTGAGGTGTCCCCCAAAAGCTCATGTTTAAAATAATGTGAGAAAGTTTAGAGATGAAAGGACTAGGTTGAGACAGAATTCAGAATCTGTGTATTAATCCACCTGAATGGATTAACTGGGTGGTAACTATAGGCAAGGAGGGTGTGGCTGGAAGAGATAGGTCACTGGTGGTATGACCTTGGGATTTATATTTTGTCCATGATGAGGGGAGCAGTCTCTCTCTTCTTCCAGTTGTCATGTCCTAAGCAACTTTCCTCTGCCATACCCTACCTTGATGTTCTACCTCACCATGGGCCCAGAACAATAGAGTCAGCCATCTATGGACCGAGATCTCTGAAACCATTAGCACCAAATAAACTTCTTCTTCTTTGAAATGGTTCTCTTTAGTCTTTTGGTCATGCCAACAAAAAGACTGACTAAAACTGTA